AAATATTTTGATTTTAGGTATTTTTTTTGTACCGCGATGTATAGGGTGGGCCGTTTATCTTACCTTACTACTTATTTTATCTATCGGGGTATTACAACCCTTCAATTTATTTTGATTTTGTATGTACAGGGTGTTTCATTTTTCATGGGCTAGTCTAAACTTCTTATTTTAAATGGAACACCCGGTATACTACCTCATTTTTGAATTATATACAAAATCTTGACATTTTAAATTTTTTATGCGAAAAATGACGTTTGCAAGACTTAAAATATCTTCGTTCGGAAGCACTTACTGTTTCACTTGAGTAAGTTTTACATTACATAAGAAATTTCAATACATATTACTACAAGGCACCCGAAAAATAAGATTAAAAATGAAATAAAAAAATTGCCAATAAACTTTTTTTTTAATGGAAACTACCTATTTTTAGAATCATATCATATTTACCATTAAAAATTAAAGCAATTTTATATAAGGTTGTATATGCGTAATATTTTTACTTTTTGAAATATTATGCTGTTGCCATATAAGTTCAGTTAGTGTAAGGTGGCGATGATGGCGTTTGAACAAAACAAGTGCTAAAGTCCTGCCACTACGATTAACCATTTCGTAGTTGACCATATACTGGACCTATTATTCTGAACCTTCAAATGGTGCACCATACTTTGACAGAAGTTAATGGGTATTTTTATGATTAAAAATTTCAGTTGAGGTTGTAAATATGCACTCATCTGTCCAAATAATATTAGTAATTACATTTTCTGAAAACGGATGTTGCACTAATTTCTGCACTGAACAGAATTTATAGGACCTCCGGTTGTTTATTTAAAGGCACGTTCGAACGGTTCTTTTGACATCTAGATCTAAAGACGCATTTCGGGTTAAATCTTCAGGGGCCTTGCAAAATGCAACAACAAATTAAGTTGCTCTTCGTTATTCAAAATATGACGACGCCTATTTTTTTTCTTTCTTTAATTTTCCATATATTCTAAAGTGTTGGTAAATCCTGTCGAAGATCTTTTATGTAACTTTCTAACATATCAATCTTCTCCTCTCTGGTAAACATTACGCAAGCAGCATATTATTTGTGACAAATGTTGAAAAGGAAATATTTCAAAAAGTAAAAATATTAGACATATACAACTATATATAAAATTGCCTTAATTAAATATTACAAGATAATAAAAATAGGTATTTATTAAACATGTCAGGAACGGTTAGACAATGAACTCATAATTCATAAGTCTCTGCCAAGATATTTTCTACAAAATTTTATATTTGATAATGTAATAATTAAGGTATCATAATTTTAAGGTTAATAGTTTTGAAATCATCAACAAAAAAAAAACAATCTGCGTTATGTATTAAAATTTTTGAAGAAGTTACACCATCCAAACATTCGTTTGTTTAAGACGATCCACGATTCGTAAATATACAGGCTATCCCATATCAATAAACATTTTTTCTGTGGATAACTATTAAAATATTCGACTTTGCTGAAAGTGCTGTCTTAAAATTGTAAAATTTTCGACGAAATAAATACCTTACTCTGAAATATTAATGTACTGATTTCGCTTAACAAAATTAAAACTTGCCTGCATGGTCATAACAATATGCAATACATGACATCATGCTGAGAAATGTGTTTTTATGTTTAAGCGAAAACCGTGAGACGGATTAAAAAAATTTAAGAGATCAAATCTGTTGGTAAATGAATGCAAATTTTTAAGGAAATCAGTGGCGTGCCACTGACTGTCTAGGGACAAATTATATTTTGGTTAATTAGATCGCCACTGCACTGGCTAAGTCGAGAACTTTATTTGCGAAAAATAAAATGTCTGTCTAAAAGAAAATATCTAACTTTTAGTTACCAACTAGCGTCATTCAAAAAAAAAATAATTAGAAGATTGTTCTTTATACATTTACAGTTTTAATAACATAACATAACATCCTAACAAGATGAGTAATAAATTAAAAAAAAAACTCTAACAAAATGTCTGTTAATAAATTAATAACAAACTTTTTGAAAAAAAGTAGAACATTAGAAACTAGATAAGTTTTTGAAAGTGTCGTTCACCATGAAGGATACACGATTTAGCTCTTGTCTTCATATTGCTGCGCCCTCTTTGAAGTATACCTCCAGTGTTTCTTTTGAAATAGCAGGAAGCTGTTATACGGCTCTTCTACAGATAGATAATTACTTAGGAAAGAAATAATATTGTGATATTGTTATTACCATGCAGATTTTATTAAAGCTAAAACCGTTAATTGGGTTGATAAAAATTAAAAAATAAACTTCTTTAGAATAATTTTTATCTTAAGAGAAATCAGTGGCGTACCATCAATGTCTGCCAAAATAGGCATGTGAAATTCCGTACGCCCGCAACTGATGTATTTAAAAAAAAATGTGGTACATTAAATAGTGCCTCTTGATACCTTGGTACCTCTTGATATCTAAAGTGGTATTACAGATATTAAAAAAATATATTTTATTTTTACCAGCCTGTATCTTAAAAGTTAAGACGTTTAGGACATATTTTCATATGAAGTTTTTTTTAAATGCGCCCAAAAAATCCCTCTTTAATTATTGACATTCATTTAAGCAATACCCTGTATATAAATTGCAAAAAAAGGAAAATTTAACAAAAGGAGGTTAATAATGTAAAAATTAGCGTTATAATTTTATTAATTATTATTTAAAAGGAGAAACCTACTAGCGCACTAATACTAATTGATTCTAATAATGAAGTAATTATTTGATACTACTGTTTGTAAAATCGAAAAATAAAAATTATACAGTAAATACAAAAAATGCTTAAAAACCTTTTTGCTTACCAGTTTCAAGCTGCCAGCAGACTAGTGAATTCGGTGATTAAATTTTGTTGATTTTTTCCCATAAAAGTTACTCTTCGTTCCTGCTCCACGACGAAAAACTGGCTAAAACCCGAGGTTGCAGTTCCAAAATAGAAGTTTGCTATCGATCTGACGATCCCCTCGTTTCGTACATATATAGGTGGGCATCCAGAAAGTGCATGTTAAAAATAATCCCCGATAAATGTCGGGAGCGAAAGGGATTGCAGCTGGTTAACAAGGCCAGACTTAATCTCCTGAAACACGCACATAAAGATATGAAATTGTAGGCCCGGACAATTCCGGTTTGATGCCGCTGCGGCTACCGGAGTTCTGCTTCACCATATGGCTCGTAAATTTACTTTACTTGGACGCTTTCGGTGCGTATACTTCAGTGGTGTACCGTTTTTGAAGGTTAAACGAGAAAATTGCTATTGCGCTACGTATCGTTTCCAAAGCGGAAACCCTTCCGGGTGTCTTTGCACTTGTGGGGTTTAGAAACTCCACGTCTAATCGATGCCAAGACGTTGGAAGGTATCTACGATGCAGCAATAAAACATAAAGTAACAGGAAATCGATCGTCGCGCACTCACGGGCCTGAAAGCGAGGGTAACAAGTTTACTTTCAATTAAGCAATGAAAAGATTATCATACGCACCGCGACAGCGCGTGTGCTCACTTTTGACACTATTCTCCACCCCCTAAATTGAAGCAGAGCAAATGTTTTCTTAGTTTTCGGAGTTGCACACTTCTTGCGAATTCGTTGTTGGGGTTTAAATCTTCTCTGTGGTATAGTGGCTGCCAGAAATAACAAACTTCGTTTTTGCAATACACAATCGTTTATCATTATCAATTGATTTAATATCTTTATTTGCTCGTGATTGTATTTGTAAATTTTAAAACCGAACGAGGCATCGAGATCGCAAAATGTAAAGATTTTAATGAATTAACGCTCAATATTAACAAATTAAAATATGTTGCATGAAATAAGTAATAAAAATCCTTTGGTGTCATGATTTACAAAAATTTCAAAGGGCCCGAACATGTCAATAACCTAGTTGCTAAATCAAGAGAGTTCGTCTATAGATTTGAAAAAGTTTGAAATTGTTGGTACCTATCTGGTACCTGTTCTTGGTACCAGTCGTTTAAAATCACAAATGTCAAAGTTGTATTTAAAAATGAAGGACGTTTTCCGGCTAACAGCTGTTTAATGAAAATATGGTATATGTTTTGCTTCCAATTATCATAAAAAAAAATCTCCGGAAATCTCTCTAGCTATTTGACATTTGCCAAAAAGTGTAAACACTAGTTATATTCAGTTATATTGGTGAACTTTGAGACCTTTCTCGAATAAGTGCAACTCGCTATATGTATCTTTCCTTTATTTTATTAATTATTTTTCTTGACATCCGTAGGCGCAAGTTCATTTCAAATTTAAGAATTTAGCAGGCAAGATAGACAAATGCAAATTGTTTGTGCTCTAGGTGATATGCTAAGTTAATTTAAGTAGCACACATTTTGGTATTTTTGTGTCTAGTGAAATTCTCTATTGAATTTTGTATGGGTATGTAGAAATAAATAAATAAGTTTTGTTAGAAAACTGTGATATGGGGAAATAGCTCTTCTGTACTTAAAATTTTAATATTGGAAAATAGAGTTGGTATTATATATAATATTGGATATAGACCCTTATTTAAATAATTAAATATCATCATGTGTATATAGATTGTGTGTCCAAATAAGTAGATTCTATATGAGCAACTTTTTTGTTTTTAGTTTTATGAAAAATAGTTATTCTTACAACGTTTGTCGAAAAATATGAATCCTATACCTTTATTTTTTAAATTTTCGACAACTGTTATTAACAAAAGTTGACCATAGTTAAAGTATTGTCAGATATCCAATAGTAATCATCCGTCTTAAAGCAATAATTTCAATTTACTAGACTATCAATATATTTATCATCTCATTAGACACATTTAATCATTCTTTCATACATTCACAATGATATGCACAGTGATCTCCTGACGTACTTACCATCCTGCCTCAACTATTACTACTTTATTCTTATAGCATGCTACTTATTTTGTTTTGTCCCACGCGACCTGTTACTGGCTCTAACATAATCCATAGTGTGTTCTTATTTTTCAGCGGTAGCCGCCAGAAAACAGCGACGGGAACGAACGACCTACAATAAGGAACAGCTGAACACTCTCGAGGAACTCTTCGAGAAAACGAGGTATCCTGACATTTTTATGAGGGAAGAGGTCGCGCTCCGGATCAACGTTCCTGAATCTAGAGTCCAAGTAAGTTATATACGAAAGTTGTCTTTGCAGTTGACTTTAACAAGCAAAAAATTATCCACCTTTCTCGGTGGATCCAGATTTTCGTACATTATTCCGAAGCGAGAACTTGGTGGTTGCACATGGGTAAAATTGTTAAGCTTTGGTAAAATGTATTTATTTATTTTGGTTCTGTAGCCTAAAATAATGAAAATACCCCGATAGATTTGAACGTGGTTTCTCTTCTATCTTTGGGCCGTACCTATAGAAAAAAACTCATAACAAAAAGAGTTGACTAACTAATTTTTTGTTAGAATGGGGGAAATTCAAATCAGGGCAATAATAACAATATAGGAAGTTTTACATCACAATCAGTCTCCCTTTATTTCAAAAACAAATATGAACCGCAATAAAATGCAAAATAAAAATACAAACAAAAATGATATTAGAAAAATAAAATTGGAACCACATATCTACATAACATATGATAACAAAATTAAAGAATTCATAAATCAAGACACAGGGAAAAATTTATTACTGGTGGTTGGTTTTCCGTTGACTATTTATAAGTAGTTATATAATAAAACCATGCCCTAAGTGATATATAAAAATAATGAATGTTTTCAGTTGGATTATAGCAACAAGTTTTCCATCATTGTTTTTTTTGTGTAAACTAAACAAGTAACAAAAACAAATACTTACATACCATACCTACCTTACATGAAGCATCGGAATAGTAAAGGAAAACAAGTCCTAAAAGGATAAAAATTATTTGGGTACTTTTTATCTATTCATTAAACCCATTTTCAATTTACATTTCTTTGGGGTCTTGGTTCATTTTCCCCTAACGTGATACAAACTGAACAGGTACACACAGAAAAACAGACATTAACAAAATAATAATTAATAAAATTTTAAAACTGCCGGTCTGCTTCATCTATTTGTTTCATAAAATTCTAGTCCCCCTACAGGCTATTTATCAAATTCAATCAGACCAAACAGTATTGATTGATTGATTCAATCGTGTTTTATTATACAAAAAAAAGAAATCCTCAATTAGATGGTCACAAAAAAGTTAAAACCCATTGGGTACAGAGGATGTAGAGACAGACCTTGAGGGTCGGTGCTAGGAATGATCTTCAAAAATGGCCAAAACTTATACCCTATGTTGAAATAAATATTAAAAGAAGAACGGGAGGGATAGATGATTCGGTTCTAGCCGCTAAAACTTCGCCTTTACAAGACATATATCTACCTCAAAGTGTCGACCACGTGACAATACCTCCGTTTATTATTGAACATATTATTGTACGTATTCGACGAGTAGGAAAGCATGTTGTGTGTCGGTCCGCACAGAAAAATAGGGCATTATTTGCGGCGTGTCGATGACAATGCCCGAAATAGAGGGGCGTTTTATTTGCTCTGCGATCGGTAATGATTCAATTTAGTGCCTGGTTAGTCTTTTCACCGAGTCGCAGCTGTCGTTTGTCGACGTCTATGCATTTGTGCAATCTCGCACCGATCACAGGACTATGTGAATTCAGAAAGGGTTATATTCGCCACAGTAACTGATGTCTTTTAAACAGCATTTGTATTTTTTTGCAATTTTGTTATAGTAGTTGTGGCGTAAACTCATTTAATTAATGAAACTGCAAAATTTCATTAGCGAAAATTATTGGTATTTGTATATTTGGTATAGTAATGGTAATTTTTAAGACCGTTGATCAAATAAAATAAATAATAATTAGAATTCACAATCAATCAAATACGAAACGGATCATACTTACCATAATTTCGATATAAACACTTGTGTGAACATATCGACAGATAATGCAATCTGTGTTCGTTCATTTTCAGAGAGAAATATTGATTTGTTTGTTAATTTAATAAGTGAAACAGATTGGAGCAATATTCTTCCTAGTACAAATAATGTAGACAAAAACTTTCATCATTTTCATGAAAAATTTATTGAAATTCTCTAACGAAGTAAGAGAATTAGCTAAAATTAATCCGGGAAATGTCAACCACTAGTAAACATTACGAAGATTTAGCTTAAACAGCTCGAGACCTTGCAATAAAAAAGTACTACAAAAGAAACTCGCTATGAAGAAGAAAACCATTAATACCAATATACTTGCCAATGCCAAAAATCTTAATAAAGAGTGTTGGAATATTGTTAATGAAAACCGAACTAAAACAAAAAAAAAAGTAATAAAAGAAATCATAAATGAGAATGGTGAACAAGTTTCGAACGTAAAAACCATCTGTAATGTTTTTGGAAGTCATAATAGATTGCTAGACGAGTATGAAAGTATTTTTTTAAAAACAACATCAAACCTATGGTCTTCTTGGTCATTAACAAAGTATGCAAAAAAATCACCAAGTTTTGACAACGTACCAGGAAATATAATTATTTAAACTCTCGTTTAAATAATTATTTGGAAAAATTTCTGTTACTCTCATAAAATCAAAATGGCTTTCGTATGAATAAATCAACTAGTACTGCTCTTGATCAAGTCACTACTCACATCTATAATTCATTGAATAACAGGGAGTACATCTTTGTGCTATTTTTTAATCTTGGTAGAGCATTTGATACCATCGATCATGCCTTTTGGGTACGTTCGTATCTACAAGAACGACAACAGACGACGACAGAACAACAACAGCAGGCTCTTGTTTATCACCTACACTGTTTAATATGTTTATCAAATATCTACCTCTAAATTTAGAAAGTTTTGGCGTCCCAATTTTATATGCAGGCGACAGCAACATTATTATCACAGGTAAAACGTGTTCTGAAATTTCAAATAAAAGTGCTGAGTCCGTCAGAGTGATGACAGGATGGTGCAGCGATAATAGCTTCAATTTGAACTCGGATAAAACCATGGCCATAAAAGTTGTACCAAACAATTTTACAGTGGATAGCAGTTTTTTGCTACGAGCAGAGGACAAATCAATTAAAAATGTATCAAGTACAAAATTTTTAGGTATATAGACCAAAAAATGGCATGGACCACTCATATACAAAATATAGCACCTTAACTAAGCTGCTTCTTTCTTAAAAATATCAAGAATACTGTTTCCATAGAGATTCTTAAATTGGTGTAGTTTGCTCTGTTCTAGTCTGTAGCCTCCTACGGACTTGTGTACAAAAAAAGCCATTACATGTATGACGGTTATCAAAAGAACCTGTCTTGTAGAAAATATTTCAAAGAATTGGGAATTTTAACATTAACATCATTATATATTTATTCATTACTTATATACGTAAAAAAACAATATAAAACAGAAAACAACAATGAAATGAACAAAAATGATCTTACACAGCAGCCATTTTCAAGACTCTGTAGCACAACAGCCTACTACATACGTCGAAATTAAATGTTATTACAAAATTGCAAAGATCGGCAAGAGCTTACGCAATGGAAAAGTTAAAGTAGCACTGTTTAAGACAAAGCTAAAATCACTATTAATAGCTAAATGTTACTGTACAGAAAATGAATTCTATAAATTCTATAAATATATTGTATATATTGGTTTACATTTTATTTACAATTAAAATATATCATAACATGGCGTACATATAATGTACAACCTATGTATTATCATTGACTGTAATATTCCAATGCCAAATGTTTGGACACGGGACCATTAGATCCGCACGAATCAGAAATGTGCCTTGAAAATGACATCGTATCGAAAAAATCCAAGTCGCTGATCATTAATCTAGTTAAGTGCCAATTAATGCATTCCGGAGAAAAATTATTCGCTATTCTTGTAAATTTATATACGCAGTAGATACTTCAAGAAACAAAAGAAATCCGGAAAAATACCCAATTATGTACAGATCAAACGCGTTTCCGGTACTTTAGTCACTGGATGATCGGTAGATTTTGGGAATGGTGTTACTTCTGACGTTACACGCCATTCAGTGAATATATTCAAAACTAGTACCCAAAAACTAGTAGCCGTAGGGAAAGTATAGCATGCAACAAGTGCGAAATCAAACTCATTACTAGGAAGCTGTTTTCATTATAAACTTATTTCATGATTTTATTGTTTAAAAATATATTTTTACACAATTCTTATAGGCAAGTTGATTCTGAGAATACTGACTATTAATAAATTAACATATTTTCTAGTGTGCAGTTTTTATATTTTGCAAAATTCCATAAAATTGGTGTGTAGTTTTTACGTGATCTTAAAAATATGTTTGAAAAATCTGCATTTTGCAAATTTGTTTATTCAGTTGTATACTTATACTATATAGATTTTTTACGACAATTCTACGGGCTGGTGTTTTTATATAAATATGTTTCAATTTTAAATTAAATAGGGCAATATTTTAATATCCATATTTATGTAAATATATATTTTCTTGTTTACCTGCACCTGTGGCAGGCAATAGGCCAAGGAAAAAACCGACCTCCAGTAGTGGCGTTTAGTTTCAGCCAAACCGGCGGCACCATTTTAATTTGACTTAACGATACTGATCGATAATAACGCACTGTGAGATATACGGGCCTAATTAAAATAATAAACGGAATTTTTAATATAATGTAACGCCATATAAATTTGCAGGCTGTCTTCCCACCATATGTGGGCACGTCAATTATTGACAGGAATTAATTTGTCATTACGTAATATGTTGTCAATTGATATTACACTAAGTATTGCGATTATCACCTTATACAGGCAGGTTACAACACATCATAAAATACGCTCTTGCTTATAAATTGGTATAAAGCATTTAAACTGGCTGTGTTGATAGGGTAGTAGGTACATTTTAACTTTTGCTAATTGCTGAATGTTAATAATAAAGTTAAGTAAAGTTAAATCATCATTTTTGTTCTGAACAAGTGCCTCCTCCTTGTCCTAAGGCAGGATCTCTACGGTCGCATCGAAAACGCTTACAAATAATTTTTTTTTTATTTTATCTATGTTCTTATTTTTGCTATTATTATGTCAGGTATTCAAATGAAAAGACCGTGAGGAAATATGTACCTAAAACCTAAAAATGTAAAATGTGGAACAATAGTAATACTTCCGTAATATTATATAGTTCCATTTTCGTTTTTAAGAAAAAAAATCATTATTTTTCCGCCATATTTGCAACGCGACTTAATTATATAACACACTACCCTTTATTTTAAACAAGGAATAAATTTCATTTTTTTCAAACACTACTTATATAAAGCTGGATATTCTTTATTAAACTAACATTTGCTACACCTAAAAATAACGATTTTGATGCACTCTTATTGTGCTTAATCGACAATGAGACAATTTGTCATTAAATTTTATATTTTCACATATATTTAATGACTTACATAATTAATATCTTTTGCTGAATCTTAATCCTAATGACATGATTTGAGTTAAATATAATCCCAAAGATTGTGCGTTAAAGTGCAGCTTTTGCTTAAATTTAACTTCGTGATTTTGATTTACCGTTAGTGTGCTCAATCTATCCTTTTTATTCAACTTTATTACATATACCCAAACTTATTGATTGTTCATTTCCAAATTAGCCCGCCCCTATTTATTATGTAAACAAAACCGCGTCAGGTTGTCCTGCAGTCGAGCCCTTTCGGTAAACATTCGCCTTAAAAAGTCAAAGAACCCCGGAAAAAAAATTATAAGCCCAGATTACAGACTAACTCCTTAATGCCTGGCGTCGGCAACGGGCAGCAGTAGTAGTCGCGTTTCGCCAATATTTCCCCGTATCAATTTCCAACCGTATTAACCTCCCCGCGATAATAGTTATTTTATACGGACAGAGGTACAAACGTTGCCCCCCGATAGAGGAGGCTAAGGCGGGGTGTACTTTGTTGGAACAACCCCTCTTAATCCGCCGCGCTAATGGAAAACAGTCCCCTAGCCTGCCCGTTCCGTCCCATTGTGTTGTTCTATTGAATAAAATATATACAGTTATCCCGGCAAAGATTGAATGGGGTCTCGCAGCCACCCTTGTTGTTGCCAAAGATTTCAACGCGCCGCTGCGTATGGCGATATAGAAATGGGACCGTCCGACATTTTTTCCAACGGATGGGATTAACTTTTTTCTTTTTTTCAAAATGTAACGCATTTGCTTCGACGAATAATGGAATTGAAATTGGTTAGTTTCCGAATCGTTCGGATGGAAACGTAGTCCACCGGGATCAGAGTTGCCTAGCTGGGACACGCCAGATATAGTCTATTTGGGAATAGTATAGAGTAGATTTTTTTGGGAGTCGATAGTCATAACTGATAATAATTGCCAAGTTGGACAATTTTTAAGGAAAATTCCCCTTCTTAAAAGAGGCAGAGAGAAATTGATATCGGTGTTGGGGTTCAAGTTTCATAAAAAAGCAGGCGATTATCGTTTGTGAGTCATAGATTGTTCCTGAGTAATTTGTATTTTTCAAAAATTGCTGGGTTGAGCAAAATATCAAGCGTATCATCATATAAAAATAAGATTTTTGTAATATAAATTATTAGGTTGATATACTGTAAAAAATAAATATGTTAAATGGAACTAACGATTCTTAGCTTATTACACTAGTTGTTAATAAAGTTAGGAATATTTACCTTTTAAATATTATGTTTTCAAATGTGTAATTTTCTGGTGTACACTTAATAGTTTTTTTGTCTAACTTATATGCCACCTCCTCTTAGAAGGTTGATGGCGCTTCTACCGCTACCTTTTTTCATTGCTCATGGGTCCATTGCGCAGTCTGATGTTTATATTTCCATCATAAAAAAACTATCACTCAAAAACTATCGAAATATATAAAGCGATGAAGAAATTCAAAAGTTGCTCAAAACGCATCTTACAAGAGTTATGAGACATTAATTTGATCCTCTTTGATGTGCAAAAGTTGTTAGTAATTTTAATAATGAGACGAGAGGTATTTTTTACAGGATTTGGAAATATAGTTATAACTATCCGCACTTACCTTTAATAGCACCTAAGTAGCCATATGCCGTCATTTTTTCCGTCTATTTTGGCTAGAAGTTGTTCATCGTACCATATCTAAGAGGTTAATGTCGCTGATTGTCTATTTATGGTGAGATGCCAATTAATGCTTTTATTAGAAAAATAATGTTGGTTAGTTTATTTTGCTATACGAAATACGAAAATACGAAAATTTACAAATAATATCAAATTTTATAGCATTATAACAAATGTATCCTCAAATTTTACGCAATATTTTAAAATTTTCTCAGTGAAAGTATATTATGAAAAATGAGTTGTGCGGCAAAATCTCCGAAAACATCCGATTGTTCCCAAACCCGTGCGGTAATATCCCGGAAATGTCCGACAGTGCTCGGATTCGTCGGACAAGAAACTCACGTGGTAAAATCGCGCTTTCCGCACGCCAGATAGGTGTATAATTAAGTATTTACCAGAAGGGAGTAGGAAAAATACAAAATACAAAAAAAAAGGAAAAAGACATTTTATCACAGTTTTTAATAGACAATCTTTTTTTTAGTGTAAATTTTAAATAATTTGTAACGTTTCATAAAATTAACTTGCAGTTTTCACATAATTTGCTATATACTAAAATTAAGTATTTTATGGAAATATAGTCAAAAATATATATATTTGCAAATTAAATGTATTATGATTATGAGAAGAATCCGACTTATTCCACAAAATTCACAATTCCTTTAATAAATTGTAAGTACAATACGCATTGTTTTGAAAATAGTTTACATATACAGGGTGCGGCAAAAAAGTAGGCAGTGTTCGGTTTGTAAAACCGGCAACACTGTGTACGCACTCGCGTTAGGCAGACAAAAGTATGCAATTTTGGAATTAAGAAAACCCGTACAAATTTATGCCGGGATATTCTTCAAAACATCCCCAGAGGCGCTGTATTCATGTCTAGCGATGAAGCTCACTTTCACCTCTCGGGTATCGTAAATAAGCAAAATTTCCGTTATTGGTCAGCAAATAGTCCACAGGAACTTCATAAGCGACCTCTTCACAGTCGAAAAGTCACCGTCTGGTGTACAATCTCGGAGTTCGGCGTGTGGGGTCCTTAATTTTTCGAAGAAGATGGAATAACGATAACAGTCAACGGAGATCGATATTTTGATATGCTTAACAATATAATGCGTCCAAAAGTGAACGAGTTGGACAAGGATCATGAGAACATCTTTGGTTCCAGCGGGATGGTGCTACATCGCACACAACACGTCGTTCACTAAATCTTCTTCAAGAAATGTTCCTAAACAAAGTGGTGTCTTTACGAAGTGATCTTGGTTGGCCGCCACGTTCGCCTGATTTGTCACTTTGCGACTTTTTTCTTTGGGGTTACCTGAAAGCGAGAGTTTTCAAACATCGTCCTCGGACTTTGGAAGAATTAAAGAACCATAAGACAAGGAATCCCTCAATTCCCCAAGAAATGATCATCGAGTAATGATGCGTTTCCGCGAGAACCTACACGAGTGCATCGATAATAATGGCCGTCATTTAAAAGACATCATTTTTAAAAAATAACATTCCTAAATGGCATAAAATGTACATTTCAAAAATAATTTTAAAAATATGTTTGCTTTATGTAGTTCGGTTTTTATTAACATCCCAAATAGTAGTAGTATCATTTTGCCGCATCCTGTACTTACGTGCTTTGCAAATATAATACAATATCCAAATACAATACAAAGAACTACCAGAATAAAAATACAATATGTTTCTAATGAAATGATGGCGACTACCACTACGCCATTTGTTTTCTGTATTACGATCACACCTGTCCAACGTTAAAGTCCAAAATTTCAATTTTTTCCAAAAAGACTTTGATTTTTCTGTTGATTTCGATGACCCTGTACAGTTTTTTGGACATTAGTTTTATAAGAACTGGCACTAAATTCTGTTTCAATAAATTACGAAAACAACCTAAAAATCAAGTTTAGAGAGTATTTTCCTCAAAACTGACCGACCGATGTCATTGTTTCAGGTGTGGTTCAAAAACAGGCGGGCTAAGGCGCGTACGCAGCAGATCCAGCACGAGGCGCGCAGCAAAAACAAAACGAAACGAAGGAGTTCGACCAGCGGCGCTGTACCACAGGTGAATCCGCCGACGACGGCCGCCGAGGCGCCCGTTTCCTCCAAGAAAATCCTCCCGCCAGACAACATCTTAACCCCGTCGAACTCGGTTTCGCCTCCCGGGGCAACCGTCAAGCGCGAACCATCGCACGTGATGCAAAGCCCGCTGGAGAAGATGTCCGAGATGTACGCTCCGAGCTCGGAAAGTCCATTCGCTCACACCTCTCAGGGCTCGCCGTACGCACAAACCTCACAGGGTTCACCGACCACCCAAATGTCCCAGGTGTCGCCGCAGTCGGGTATTTCCCATGGATTGTCGCCGGCTCATATCCAAAATTTCGGCCTAGGCAGCAATTCGAGCGTGGTAACGACTCCCTCGCCGCCCAATACGCCCGGGGCGGGCGCGTACAATCCCTCGATGAACTACCCTTATCAGCACGACATCAATTCGTACAATAACTGGTACATGAACGGGGCCGCCAGCTACTACCAGAGCTCGCAAAACCACAATTCTAGCAGCTACTACAACCAGATGCACATGGACTATAATCACCACCAGGGTTACTACCAGAATGGGGGACACGTGGGCAATATGTACCACCACGGGGGTTACAATTTCGCGTCGACCAGTGCTCAAAACTATCAGAACTCTTTCGACAACGGTCAGATGAACCATCAGATGCAGTAGTGACGAACGAGTGTTTAGTTAGTTGTTCGTGGCTTTAGATTGTGTGGCAATATTTATGGGGTTAATTTTCGTTCTTGGATTTGGTCTCCTTTCGCCTATAGAAGTCTTGCTTTTCAATTGCTCTCTGAAAACGACAGGCCATCAAATTTGGTGCTCATCTTCCTTTAGCGAGATCAGAGTGAATTGAAATAAAAATATTGCATAAATATACAGGTGGCTAAGTCTAGAATAAACTCCAGTTTTTTACCGAGATACAGAGTATTAAAAGTTCGAATAAAAAAAATGTTTATTATATGTTTCACATCACTCAATATACCTTTGTGAAAATTGGTACGCAGATTTTAGTGGCGACCTGGCTGCTTGTGGACTCAACATTTTTGAAGAAAAAAACTGTTTTGGAAAATAAAAAAATTTGATTTTACTTGACTTTGACTTTTTGACTTTTTCCACAAAAACATTACCGTTTTTGCATAAAAAATTGTCCTCATCCAAATTGCTAAAATTTCAAATATGTTATTTTCATTGATATTTTCTAAATTGATGAAAATAAATTTTAGTTTTCGTTAAAACTTAGTTAAAAGGGACTTCAAATTATGTACTTATCTTGGAAATTGAATTTATTACATAGGGGAAATTGAATTGAATTGAATTGATTGATTAAAACAAATTATTTTTTCTTCACAAACATTCAGTCCCCCCTCGGCGGGGGTGCCACTAATACGAATTGAAAAATCCCCTTCAAATAATAAAATGCCTTTGGACACTATAAAGGCTTAAACCAATTTTAAGAAAGATGTCTTTAGTTATGTATCTCGGTAAGTAAGAGGTAAACTGGGGTTCATTTCAGGCCTAAAATATGTGCTCGTAATTTCATTGAGAGTCTCCGGGGTATTGTTCCAAAATTTGCTATTGACGATGATTATTCAACTGAGACATTTATCTCAATTTATCACCAGAGCGTTTTTTCTTTCGTCGTTATTTTTCCGGGCTCTAAAGCAACATTCAACATGTATATTTTGTAAAAAGCTCTTCATTTCGTGTAAAATAAAACTCACGCGCAGCGAATTTGTGTAAATAGTAAATGGACCTTAGAAAGTTAAGTTGCATTTAATTCAAGAGTGGTATCGAATGTTGTGGCTGTATAATATTGTATATAGTGCGACGAATATAATAAATTATATATATTAAAAAACTAACTCTTGTATTATATTTTGCGACTAAGACCTTTATTTACTTATAATGATTTTTATTACTGGCAATATTGTGAGATTATGATTTTAAAAAATTTCGCTTGAGCAGCGCACACGTTCATTTTATTCTTTTTTATGAACGATTTCGTGTATTAATTAATATGTGTATATTATATTTTACCTAAAATACCGACGGCAATCGAAATTTCAAATAAAAACCTGTGGAATTAAATGGATTCGTTTATTTCTTCTCGCCGAAACGGCGTTGCGACAAAACTATAAACTCGGCATTAAAAACCGTAACGATAAATCGATAAATCGCAACGCGTTTGCCATAAATCTAGATTTTTACGGCGTCGCTTTGTTGCAATTGGTCCGTCGTTTATTATCGGCTGTTATTAGCCGCAAATTTTTATTATAAACATAAATTGAACCGACCGAAAATTGGATCGGGTGGGCCATAAATGAAAACAGATTTGAACCCCGCCGAATGTTGTAAATTAAATTTGTAAATTATTCGAAATTTAAATAAAATCCCAATTTAAATTTTATTTCATTAAAAACAAATCTTTTTTTTTATTAATTGGAAAAACTGTGGAAACTTCTAAATTTTAAATCAAATCAAAATGGTTTGTTTGTCGTATAGACTAGAACCAAAAATACAAAAATAAAAGTATAAAAAAGTAGGTTAGTGAAAAAGGACATTTTAAAGATTATAAAAACCTATGACAGTAAAGTCTCAAAAAGACGCATGCAAGAAAATACTATATTGAATAATAATATAATATGGTTGCAACTAGGTAAAATAATAAAGCAGCTGGGGAGAATAAGACTAGCTAGATTATGTAAACCCTACTTTTAAATATCGACACATTGAACACATCGAACATTAAAATAAACAAACAATAATATACAATCAAAATATCCCGCGATTCTCAAAAAATATTGATTGCATAATTTATTTTTAACATTGTAATTTGTTAGTTAGCTTTACCGAGTTTTATTGCAGTGAACAGTTGCCAAAATTTTGACGGTAGAAACTTCTAAAATCCGGAATAATTATCACACATATTCGAGAGAAACCGAATACGCAATGTTTAAAAAGTAAATTTAAAGGTTGTTAATAAACGGATATCAAATAATTTCTACGTTTAAAAAACCATAATGCACCCTATTGGAAAAAAAGTTAACCATGCTGGGCAAACACGAAACAGCGAAAAAAGTAAAGGACAGAAAATTTTCTTTTGGATCTGGTCAAATAAATACTTTTTTTTCGTTTTATTTTCGAATATTTTCAAAACTACCCTTTCCCCTATTTAAATATTTTTGTTTATTTCTTAAAAGCTTGTTTTTTTCATTCGAGAGGGGGAGTACTAAACAATTTAAATATTTACCACTCATTGACATCCTGTATAGCTAAAATCCAAATTGTATCATATTTTGCATTCTTCAAACCACAAATATTAAAAAATAATCAGTATGGGGTCAATATGGGATCATAGAAAAAAATATAATTAAAAATTTGCTTTTAGGTTTGGGTAATCTTGTCAAATTAAACAGAAAAAAAATTAAGACGAAATACGAAAATAAAATTCATTTTGTTAAATATTTGGGAACTTAGCCTTTTATTTATGTCATGAAAACTGTGTTTTTAGCTTTTTTTTCTATTCTAGATGAGGAGTACTAACACTTCTTTAAATATTTATGTTGTATTTATAACTTGTCTATCCAAAAAGAAAAACAATGAAAAAATATCTAATAAGTGCTAAATTAAATGAAGAAAGCTGAAGGAATTTTCTTAAAATTAAAGATAATACTTAATTAAAAGTAAGACATTGTTTGACATTAAAAACTATAGACAACTTCAAGCTACTTTGGCGATTTTCGGTTTTAAGTTTTCGAAGAGCACTGAAAAAAGAAGAGTAATTTTACATTATAGGATTTTAGGCAATTTCATTGGTACAACCAATAGCCACTACCAAAAAAGGGGTAATATTTCCTTATTGATTCCTTACTGATGACAAAGTCTCCAACTACAATCAATAATCATAATGTTAATGATATTTCTATATATTTTGTGCGAGACTGTTTTTTTTTCTTTTTTCCTTTTACTTGTCCAAAATGATTAGTGCGACGTTTCAAGCAAACCACATTGTACCCACTCTAAGCCGACCGCATAATACCCTCGTATGTTCCCTACTCGAAAAACTAATAAACGCGAAATAGGCCACAGAGTGTTTGTTTAAGTAAAAGTGCAGTTCAAATATGCTGCAAAGCAAGAAAGCATTTAAACACACATCGCGTGTACTTGAAAGTGTGATATGTGCTCAAGTTTGAAGACGCGGATAGTATGGAATGAAATCTGAAACTCTGTGGTTTAGGTAAAAACTTGGTTAAAGAAAATAAGCTAAATTATATTTATATAGAACAATTTTTTCATCCAAAGCAAATTTTATTATTATTATTTTATTTTCCTTAGACGGTCAGTTTGGAATTTATTATTTATGGCTATTATTTTTTTTATTCAACATACCTGTCACCTACCAATTTAGACTGCAAAAATCTGTCAAAACTGGCACGTGGATACAGTGCCCACTGGACAATGTATAATATATTTGTGTATATATCTGTATAGATATATAAATTTCAACACTCGTATTAATATTTTGTGATGTGGTTGAAAAAATATGAACATATGACATTTTCAAACAAATTTATTAAGACATATTATTTCCTCTCTTCTGCACCCATCGTGAGTACGGAATGAAAAACGTGACTTGCCAATGAAAACGACCACATTCCAATCCTGATTCCAGCAAGCCCGTTCATGACACCATGAGAGACGTAACTATCTCTGTCTATCGGTTAATAGTAACCAACCAAGGAAATTGTGACTGTTTCCCATATCTCATGGATAGAAACACACTCTGACTACAAGAGAAATACAAAATTTAGAATTAAAATTGATGCTTGGATTTGTAATCTTTTACCAAGTAAAAAGAGACGCATTTCTCTCCAAGGGAATGCAAATATGTAAATGAACGTTTGAAGAAGAAGAAGTAAAAAAAATCCCTATGTAAAACAGAGGATACTATATCGAAGAATAAAATTATGAGTGAAATGGACTTTAAAAAAAGAATTTCACGCAAGTGCCTTGCCTCATCCCATTTGACATCCACGCGGCCTCATTCCAATCGAATTCTCGAATGGAGATCTTTGTGGCAATAACTTTTTACAGGTTCTATTTAATTCCCCAATTATTAATGCCTTCCTCCCTTTCGAGATTCATTTAGTAAGGGCTTGTTAATCTTTTTTCTCCGAAACGACTCGGTATAGACCGGGAGGCTTAAAAACAGCGTACCTCCGTTACCGAGAATTAATTACGAGAGAAATGATGCGCCCGGGGGGTTGCTATTGTGCCTCGAGCATGTCTTTTTGTCCCGAAATAATCTAGCGGGGTTGTTCGCAAAACCTCACCCTCAGCGGGCCACCATTATTTGCATACTGCGGCTATTTCATGCGTTTTAGCTAATGAGGTGAGAGTTTTATGGTGCGCCCGATAATTCCGTAAATTTTGGTGACCCTTTGATGCGGATCGTATTGAGAATTCTTCCTTTGCAAAAGGCAACTTGTGTCACCAAGGGGTGATAAGCCAGTTAAATAATATAATAAAATATGCTTTTTTCTATCGTTTCTTGACTCGAATGAACGTGTAACACTCTGTATAACATTGTGAGATGCCAATAGGTTTGCCCATCTTTTGGTTCTTGAATAATTTCACCTGCAATAAAGTAGAGCCAGCGTGATAAATTGTTATGAATATACTCAGCATTTTAGGTTCGAGTGTGGAACATAAACGTGACGTGCTTCGCAACAGTCATAGATTGACACGTAAGGCGTCTCAAAATAGGTT